CATCCATCATCCATCCAACCATCATCCATCCAACCATCATCCATCCATCATCCATCCAACCATCATCCATCCATCCATCATCCATCCATCCATCATCCATCCATCATCCATCCAACCATCATCCATCCATCCATCATCCATCCATCCATCCATCCAACATCCATCATCCATCCATCATCCATCCAACCATCATCCATCCATCATCCATCCAACCATCATCCATCCATCCATCCAACCATCATCCAACCATCATCCATCCAACCATCATCCAACCATCATAAAAAGAATAAAATTTTCTTCAATTTTAATATTTTGATAAGAATCTGTTTTCAGAACTGAAGCTTTTTTTCATCATCTAACTTAAATCCATCAGAACTTTTTGTTGTTGTAAATAATTCAAAACTCTTTATTTCTACAAGACAAATGTTTTTCCTGTTCTGCTCTCTGATTTTCAGGTTTTGGACCCATTTTTACAGAAACTCCTGTGAAGAATGAAACCAGCCTTTACATGAAGTGTGGGAACGGTGATGGACGAGAAGCCTCGTGATTTAAAGGATCGAGTTCTGCACGGCATTCTGTGTGTGTGTGTGTGTCTGTGTGTGTGTGTGTGTGTGTGTGTGTGTGTGTGTGTGTGTGTGTGTGTGATGGCTTCAGCTGAGCTAACTGTGTAACAGATGGTTAAATGTTTAACTGGAACCTATCAGAAACAAATAAATTTGATTTGAAATGAAGTTTATGTTACATCAACTTTCTGCATCCAAAGGTTTTAATAAAAACAGTAAATATTAAAATCGTAAGCGGCTGGTGGTGAACACAGCACAGAAACCTTGAACTTCTACAGGAACAGTAGATTATTTGCAGAGTGACTTTGTGCGAGCCGAGGACAGAAGCAGTGATCCTCTCACCATCCTGACGTCCATCACTTTAAATAAAGTTTAATGATCTGTGGAAACGTGACTTTCTGCCCTGATGCATCAATAACAACCAGATGAATATCTGATCCTCTGAATGTTGACAGATCTGTCAGCAGATCAGCTGATGAAACAAAATCTTCCTCAATCACAATCTATTAGAAATAATTCATCCTTTTAGCAGTAACTAATCATTACTCTTAAAGTAAAGCAGCTTTTTTAAAGTAGCTACTAGGTTTTAAACCAACCTTTTTTTCATTAAGAGCTACTTTCACTTTTTGCAACAGTAAATTTTAAACTTAAACCACTGGAAAAAGCTTGTTTCGCACAAAAAATTTTGTCCTGAATTTACATAAAACCACCACAAAAAACTGAACTTACATGAATGTGCTTTTTGTGTTTTTTCATTCATATATTGTATTTCACACTAATAACTTAGTTTATTAACTGCAACAGATTTGTGCACAAATAACGGGTGATGGGGCTCTGATTTTTGTCTGTATTGTAGCCTCCAGCAGGAAGAAACCCCCTGCAGTGACCCTCAGTGGGAGGGGTTTCCCAGGAGCTTGGCACACTAGCTATGTTTACATGGACAAAAGTAATCGGATTAAACGGTCGATCAGAATAAAAATGCGTCATGTAAACAGTCCGTTCAGATTATTCTGATCCGATTGAGCTCGATCCAAATGAATCTTTAATAGGGCTGTGTATTGGCAAGAATTTGGCGATACGATACATATGACAGAGGGGTCACGATACGATACATCCCGATATATTGCGATACTGTAAACAAGGTGATATACTGTGATTTTTTTGTCCAAAAATTCTATTAAATAAAAACCTCTTATTGGAAAAAAATGAAAAACTAAAATTCATTGTCTCAGAAAATTCTAATATTACATAGACATACTTTTGATACATTTAGCTGTGTTCTGCTTTGTATGTATTTTATTTTATTTGTTTCATATTTCTTATTTCATCCATGTTTTCAATTATTAGACTAAATTTGCTAATAAATAGTTTGAAAATATATTTTTTGCAGCTTTTAGTTTTTAATATTAATTTACAACATGGTCACCAACACTTAACAACAGTCTCTACCTCAAGAGGTAGAGGAGCCAAACGTCTGGCTCACTGCTGCCAACTAGTGGTCAGAGGCTGAACTACAACATAAAAATGAACGGCTGGCAGGAAAGTTGACATTTTAAACCTTAATAAAAAGCGATACAGGGCTTTAGAATATCGATACAGTATCAGGAAATGAAATATCGCGATATTTCAGTGTATCGATATTTTCTTACACCCCTAATCTTTAATCCAAATGAGTCAGGTGGGTTATTCCGATTGATGATCAGAATGAGGTTCATGTAAACACTTAATCTGATCATCTTATTCTGACTGTAGAAAAGTGACCTGAGTGAGCAGGTCTTCTAACTTTATCCACCTGGTTCTGTTCTGAGAGGAGGCGGGGCAGCAGCGCTCCAGCTGCGCAGCACCACACAGAACTTTTCCTCCTCACTCTCTTAACAGATGAAAAAGGAGACAAACAGCAGACGGTGCTTGGCAAAAAATAAAAATAAAAACACGTATTGCTTCATCTGCAGCTGAACTGAGGAGTAACGACGTCTCTACCGTTATTAAAATCTGACACGGGTCCGTCCTGAGGCACAGAGGAGCTTTGTTTATGTTTGTAACAGGAAGTAGAGCTGAACGTTTACAACACTGCACATGTCTGGACTTTTATTCTGAATAAAAGTCCGGTGCATGTAAACACTTTTCATGATCGGATTGTGTCCATGTAAACAGTACATTCGGATTATTTAATCTGATTACATTTCAATCTGATCAAAACATTTTGTGCATGTAAACACAGCTACAGTGGACATGGGGCTATGAAAGGTGTGTGTGAAAATGAACACTGAAGGCTGCCAGTCCCTCCTGACTTATAGGATCCTTTGTGTGTTTTATTGTATTTAATTTGGATTTAGGTTTTGTTTGTTACCACTCACACAAGGATGTAAAGGTTTTAACTGCCTCGTTTCTTTACTTTAGACATTTATAGATTGATTGGAATTAAATGAAAGTTTATTTAGTCAGTGACTAATTAAACTTATAAGGACTTTAAAGGATCTCAGGAGACCCAGGTTTAAATCAGGAACTAAGCTTTGTCACACTCGTGTTTTGGACTTTCACCTGTACAGCAGCCTGGTAGAACTTCTGCGACAGCTCCCCCAGCTCTCCATCTTCTGATGATGACGATGATGATGAAGAGGTGTACTGCTCCAGTTTATCCAGCTGCTCCACCTGCAGAGTCACAAAAACAGATTTCTGCTCAAGGAAACCACAGCAGACTCGTACTGAAGCCATGACTGAAGGAAACTGCTGCCAGGAGCTGTTTGTGTGGAGTCTCACTCATCCAGGTGAAGAAATTTAGAGTTATTAGAGGTTAGTACTGATGTTAAAAGCACAACACTTTGATTTTAGGTTTTCCTTTTTATAATGTTGACAATGTTTAATCTATTATGTTTTGATTGAAATAGGTTCAGTTACATGTCTGAATTATATAACAACATAATCAATCGTTATGAGAACAGGAGGTGAGGATTTTGTCTGAAGGCCTGTGATTCAGCCGTAGGTCAGTAGGGGGCGAACGCAGACATTGAAGACCCTGTATAAACTGATGAACTTCCTGGTTTGTCACCAGTGTGGTTTCCTGTCAGCTCCGGTGACATTAAACCCACTCAGTCCCAGAACTCTGGTGTTGTATGGTTTGATTCCTTCTACAAATCATTTTATTTAACAATGGTGGTTTTAAAATTGACTTCAGTCTATTGAATATGTATTTTCTTACACAGGGTCAGACAGAGTTCAAACAGTCCAACAGGATCTTACAAGCAGGAGGACTGTTGGGATTCTGCTTATAGGACCCAGCAGGCCCAGTAGACCCGGCAGTCTGTCTCTCTATAAGCAGAAGAAGGTGTGCTCTGGAGTTCAGCTGTTCAGAGGAGGTTCAGAACCTAAAGCTGGGCTCAGTAGAAACATCTCAGCAGGCTTCATGTTGCTCACTATGACTTCTGTAAAGAAAAGTTACTTTATTCCTGTCGACGCTGCAGGACTTCACTCAGAGACAGGTCAACTTCTGGACTCAGTGGTCTTTGTTAACAACGTGGTCACGCTGCCTGGATCACATTTTCACCTGGCTCCGTTCTGATTGCAGAGCGGACCGGGCCAGGCCGGGCCGGCCAACATTAAATGTGGTCCAGCTGATCGGACCGAGACGAGACGCCAAACCCCTCCCAGACTCCCACTTCATGTCCCAGCTCGTCTGTCAGAACGTTAAACAGACAGCTTGACTAAATATAAAAGAATAAAACAGCTGCAAACCTGAAAATTACCCAAAACTAAATTATTTACAACAAAACAACACAGATGGTTCTAATCTAATCTAATCTAATCAGCTGAGGCTTTGGCTCAGAGAGAATAAACACAGCAAACTACAGCAGCTCAGAAACATTATTTTATTTAAATTTATTTTACTTCATTTAAATAGATTTTGATTCATTTAACCAATTTTTAACCTCATTTAAATATACAGTGGTGAAAATAAGTATTTAGTCAGTCACCAATTGTGCAAGTTCTCCCACTTAAAAAGAT